AACATCTAAAAATAGTAGCCTACTACATTATATGCCAAAATCGTAAGAGTTAACAGGTCTGATGCAATAAGGTAAAGTAAAAGTTAAAAGTAAAGCAACAATATAAAATCATGTGGTAAGGTAATCCCTTATTTAAGTTATTATTACCCCCTTTTATTAGCCTGCCCTTATATTTTATATTATATTATTTATTATTATTAATTAAGGCTTAATGAAATTTAAGCGCGATTAATTATTTCTAGTGATATAAAATTAAAATTTCCTCTTTACCTGATGGAACTAAAGGCCTAAAATAGCGTATTTTTGTTCATGTACAATAACCATTTAACAAAATTGAACAAGATAAAAATAAAAAAAAGTAGCCTACATTTCATGTATCTTTTGTCATATATGACGCCATTATGGGAAAACAAGGAGAACTCTTCTGTCTTCAAAGATACGTTATAAAAGTTGCCCAATAGGATATATTTAGATTTAAATAATTTTTTTTTAATTTTATAGATCTATCTACTTTGTCTGATATTTCTTTCTAGTCCACTGGATCCATGCACAGCAATGTAAAGGTGGTTCTCGCAAGGGACCTCAATATCAAGGGGCGCATTCGCCAAGGGCGCTGCTTTTCCTTTGCACGCTTGTGCATCCATTTACGGACGTAACGCGGCTAGAATTTGGTGGGTGGGGGGTTATGTGGAAAATGTTTGTTAAAACTTTAAATAAAATTGTCAATTTCCTTTCTTAAAATTTGTGACAGTTTCAATTTCTTTCTCAATAAATAGCTGGTGATTTACTAAGACTGAGGCAAAAGGCGGGAAAGTAATGAAATATAATATGTCAGTAGCGAAATAAACACTATTGCTAACAGATGACTAACAAAGTAACTTGGCTCCATCCAGATAAATAAAATCACTAACACTGCCTCTCTATTTACTCACCATAAACCAGAGTCAATTTAGGTGGCATCTAAATAATTAATTTCCATCTATCAAATTAGAACTGACCAACCACAGACCATTTAAATAGCATATTTGCCTACTATGACTCACAATTGTCGAGAAAAAGTCAATCCACTTGCAAAGGGGGTTGTGGAGGGAGTGGTCCACACAGGTGCCACTTTTTTTTTTTTTTTATTTATAATGAGGGGCGGCATTTTCGGTGAGCTGAAGAGTTTGTTTGTTGTTTTTCTTAAACTTAGTGGTAGTTGGTGGCACAACTTTCTAGTGAACATATCGCAACATAACCCCTGGTCCGCTCGTAACGTTTCCCAGATCTGCTCATTACGAGGACACATGACACATCACCCAACGCTTGGACATTGGTCGCTCTCTGTTGTTGGTAGAATTCTATTACGTAGCCGAGTCTCTCGCTTCGCACCTTTTTTTTTTTTTTTGCTCATGCGCCGTTTCCCTGGTCTGGTCTGCTGATTACCAGAGTCATTGAGTCATTGTCTGATATACTAAAGTAATACGTCGACATAGCTAGAGCGACGTGGCCTCCACGGATTTGCCATGTTTCTGTTTAGTAAGGCTGTGGGCAGCAACGCAGTCGCCGCGGCTTACCCGTGTATAGGTTTACTTTAAGCAGATTTCTGATAGTTAATGTTGCATAAACTTTATGGTTTGTGTCCGCCCGCTGCGGTGGCCGCGCAAATGAACGCAGGACGAGTAAACCCACAACTCACCATAACACATCCAAACACATGATTAGTGAACCAACGGACAAGTTAACACGCAGAAAAGTGAATATCGGTATATAGAACACAGACAGCCGAACCCAACAACTCGGTTTGAAAAGGCCTTGCTGAGATAATCGTCATTCTTGACTTGTCCTTGTAAATTTATTTTCACTGCTAATTCGCAATGATTGGTTCCGAAAGATTTCAGCTACTTTTATAAATATGTAAATGTTTTTAATGTGCTGAAAATTATTTTACAAAATTGTGTAAATAACCATTTTTATTATATTTCTTGGGCAGATTTTTGTTTCCTAAACTGAGTCTATTGATTTCTTATTAAAAAACATTCACATGTTCTACAATATTGTTTAACATTTGTAAAAATATCTAGAAAATTCTTATCTTTTATGATAATTTCACATTGATATGCTTTAAATTTCATTTTATTTGACTCCTTTATTTCTAATATTGTTTCATTGAATTTTTTTCTCTTTTTAAACTGGTCCACTTAGGATTTTCCATTTATCTCTGGCGTCAAATGTATTATGAGGAAAAGTATTATTACCACATGCTTCAAAATTTGCAAGGTTTTTTCTATTATAATTATATTCTCTACTTAATGATTGATGTTGTTTTTTTATTACATGTCTCATAAACAAAATTCCGAAGTTTTTATGATCTTATTATTTTTATTAGGCTCGAGGTTAGTGGGTTGTTGGGAAAATGCATTCATTTATATTCTATCAATTATATCTATGTACTTAAATTGTTGTTTTTTAAATTAATGAGTGGAATGTGTTCATGATGTATACATCCAATGTTGTTCAAGTAACCTTAATTTTTTTAATAAGCATTTGTCAGTGTCTTTTTCAGCTTTTGTCGGTATAGCATTTTTTTCATTTTTTTTTTCTGACGTCAATTGATGAATAAGAAGGAATAGTTTTAGAACTACATAATTCAAACTTTGCATTTATTTATATTGACATTCTCTATTTAAAGATGGATGGTTTTTAAACAAATATCTCAAAGGAAAATTTTTCAGAATTTTTTATTTATGTTTTTTTTTTTATTAGGTTCGTGTGTTAATTTTTTTTTTCTATCTTTTCTGTCTTAGTTTTCTAATTGTTTTTAAATTCATGAATGGTATATGTACATGGTGTATGCATCCTATATCGTTCATGCAGCCCTCTAATTTAAAAAAAAAACACCACAATTTATACTTTTTTCATTTTTCTCAATTTTGCATTTTCCGGATTTTTTAGGAACGCCAAATGAATTGGAAGGAAAATTATTCTAGCTACAGCCCTCAAAAATTGCATGATTCTTTTCAATGAATTTTTTTATTTTTTGCAATAAAAGTCACAACAAATTTTTAAAAAATAAACTTTAGTTGATTTTTTTCTTTCTTTTTGTATATGGTTTGTATGTACTTTATTTTTTTCAATGGGTCTATTTATTTAGGGTTATCAGTATTGTGGAGAGTTTGAACCTGTGTACGACAGGGGTTGTAGGAACCTCACTGCGGGGTAACCGACCAACAGACCAGCGGTAGCAGCTATAAAACCGTGAAGACGCTATTGGGAACGCTTGTAGTGGTTGGGTAATGGCCAGAAACGGCAGGGGGCGTTAGATCAGATTTTAGTGTCAGCCTGGACCTGCCGGAGGCTGACCAATTGTTGTAGCTTGGAAGATAACATAGTGGCGAGGCTATTATTTGAGTCCAGTGGTCAGTGTATGTCCATTTAAACGACGGGAGGCGTTAGAAGAAATTCTAGTGCCAAAGATGTAGCTAAAGATTAACGCCACGTGGGGGGGGGGGGAGAACTCTAGTGACGCAGCAACTGATTCAGGGGCATATAAATAGGGATCTTTAGACAGGACTAAGCAGAACTCAGCCGGACAGGGAAGTGGACAGTCGGGGAGAACTCAGCCGGACGGAAGGCGAGTCGGACAGTCTACTGGACAGGAGTAGAATACAGTCAGAGTTGCGAGATGAGAGAAAGTATAAGCGAAGTATCAGCCCAATAAAAGAACAAGATTATAACCATCAAAGTGTTATTACCTGATTGTTGCCGAGAGACATAGTGAACGAGGTTACCATCCACATAAAGTAGATAGAGGAACAAGGCGTGACCCCCTGGTTTCCTTACAGTATTTTATTTTCAATGTGGCATGACTTAGTTGCCTTGAAACCAAATTCCTTTCACAGATCACATATATTTGCTCCCACTCAATCATTACATATGTACTTAAATGAAGAAATTATACAAACAATAGTTAACTGTACGGGTACCAACAAGGAAGGTGAGAAAGTAAAAGGAAACAAATGGCAAAGGAATGATGTGACCTAATACTAATTGAATGAGTTTATTGGCTGCCTACTCCTTACTGGCCCCTAATTTATTTTATGGATTACTTTAGTACACAACTCAAATAACTAACAACCAAAGAAACATTTCTCAAGTCAAAAAGGTTTTGTTTTTCTTTTAAATTTCAAATTATGTACCAGTGTGTTAGACCCAGTAGACAGCTATGGGGAAAAAAAAGACGAGTCCTCCAAAAATAAGTCTCTTTCTCATGCTTTATACAATGGCATCCTTTAACTTTAAGATGTTCATTGCAACTATCTTGGGAATTAGGTCAAGTCAAATGAGAAAATTTGTTGAAAGGATATTTGAGATATTAGGAAAAACAGTCAGTGTCCGCATGAATGACTCCCAGTGCCAAGGAAAATTTTTAAAATTGGTGGTTTTGTTCTGACTAAGCCAAGCTTCTAGAGGAATAGTTGAAATTAGTTCATTGTGAATGAAATTTTCATTATTTAGAATACCTAATTAATTCATAAAGTACTGTGTGATTAAATCTTTTAACTTAAACAATACACAAAAATAATCTTAAATAAAAGATTTAATTTAAATAATTAAATTTATATTATTACTTTTCTAAAATTCACATGAAAACAATAAATGTATCTAAATCATCTTCATTACTACATTTTAACAAAAATGATCTACGAAAATGGCTTAAACTAAAAAAGAAAATAAGAAAGAAAAAAATCTACCCGTCCTAATAGAAATTAACAAAGCAATAATAAAAAAATAAAAAATAAAAAGAATAAAACTGTGAATCTATGAAAGAACAAGGAGAAAAAACAATTTAAAAAAATAATTCTCATACTATTATTGTAATCACCCCCGGCTCCGAAGCCATTTAATCAGTATGGAGCCACTGCAGGTGCGAATAGTTATTTACAACTATAGGTACCCGGATACATATAGATGCAGCCAACAATATTGTATAAAAAAAATTAAGATGTCACATGATTTCACGGGAGACTACTCAAATCTCACTGAATTACCTTGTTTCCTTCCTTGTCTGTAAATAAATATGTGTCCTCATCGAAAGGCCCTAGCCTATACTATTTTATTTTATAGTCACTTTATTTGACTTGTAAAATAAGCCGTGAAAGATTATTTGGTAGACCGATTAGTTAATTTTCCTAATCCGAAGCTGTTTATCATATATAATCTTTTAAAGACCATTATAGTAGTACTAGTGGGTATACCGTACTAGTGATAGTAGTGTGTATGTTACGATGGCGTCAGGTACAACAAAAATTGAAACTGCAAATGCTATTTTTTTTAAACTTGGGCTTCTTATTTCCTATTTATGCATCATAAGTGTAACAATCTTCACTGGCTGCAGCGAGGGAACTATAGCTGCAGAAGAACGAATCGGTGAATGTGTTTTCCCAAGCTATCCAGACAAAAAAGCATTAAATGAAGAAAAAATGAAGTTAGGCTCCTTAATAGGAAAAACGTAGGTTTTTTTTTGTCATGTGCTAGTGCTAAGTCCACATATCTTGTTGCACATTCATTTCACATACACTCATACTCATTGATTGATTGGCATTGAATATCACAATTATAAATTTATTTAGTAGACCAAGGCGTTGAAGGTGGTAAAATATTGTTTTAGTGAAGTTAATCATTTTTAAAATTAAAATTTAAAATCTAAATAGCTGCGAATTTAATTATTTATCTTACGCCTATATAATATGTAATAAAATATGCATACAGTGACTTTTTTTAATTTAAGTGGGATGCTCTGAGGGGACAGTTTTCTTTATCACTTTATGGTTAATATTTAAGCATGTAATTTTCAGCCAACTACAGAGTTATTTCATGGAAGGGAGCAGCAATAATATTTTTTCCACCAACCCTAGCTACAGTACAGTATAGTATGCCATTGTGTCATGCATAATATTGCACATAGGACATAGGCAGGGGCAAGTTATAAATAAAGTTGCACTATTATTTGTGGCCAATTTTTGTAACACCCTCCCCCCACACCCTCAATTGACACACATCATTGATCATCATTTCATAGAACAAAAAATTGAGACATATCACTGAACACATAGTATAATATTTTTTTAAATTTAAAACATAGACTAATAAATATTCACTTACCTTTGGCTCTTAAATTAAATATATTTATTAGGCTATTAGGCTTAGGCTTAATAAAATCACTAAATTATAAGAGTATTCCACTAGAATAGTTATTACCAAATGTACAATAATCCCTAAGAATTCCACAATATTTTAATATTTTTTGAAGTGTTCCGGAAAAAAATAAAATTCTTGTAATCCAAGTATTGATTCAACATAGTCTGACATAGTAATAACTAATAGTAATGTAAAAAAGGCAAGCTGATCAAGTCGATTAGCCTGTGAGAATCAGTGTCTAACACAACATTTTATTGCTTTCTTATGAAGTTATGTTAGTAACTGATATAATAATAGTCCAGAATCACATCGCTTTTATTTTGAAAATTATTGGTTAAATAATTTAAATGTGCTAAAATGATATTTTACTGGCTTAGGCTATTATAGTCTTCAATCTGGGCCTGTTTTTATGACTACTTAGTTTAGCTAATTCTAATAGTCGTATCAGGCTGTGTCCCCCAATTTACAATTTGTTAATGAGATTTTAAGTCTGGCTTTCAAATTCCCTGACGTCGTGAATAAATTTTGTTTGCTTTTTTTTTTTTTTTAAAGACTTAAGTTTAATTAATTTAATTTAACTAATTACATGTGCAAGTTAAATTAAATTTAAACAATTCAACTTAGAAATATTCAATTTGCTTTCTTTAAGTCTTAAGTTTCATTGTCAAATACATGCTCATACTTCTGACTCATACTATACTAATACTTTTGACCTGAGTAACTCAGGTCTCAATTACTACTGACTACTGGTTTAGGGTTTGACAAATCTAGTAGGCCCTATACCCTAAAGTAAAGCCCTTACCCAGCTGAGCCAGATCTTAGATTTTCACTTCAAACTAATCATTTCCAAGTGTCTCTAGTCTTGATTCCTCATTTTTACTTTGTAATGCTTTCTTTTTGGATTCCGGTGCTCACTTTGTTATTTTCTGTTGCACTTACACAACTTTAGAGTTATTCTACTGTAAACAAGGAAGCTCAATAATAAAATTTATAAATATAATGTTCAAAATATTATCATGCAGTAAATCCACTCTATCCTATCCACCTTCAATATTTCTATCCCTCCTATCAATTTGTTCAACTGGTATTTTTAATCTACCCCCCACCCAGCACTCACACACCTACACCAATTGTATTGGCATATCAGATAATCACCATTAATACAGCCAAGCAAGAGCTCTGTAACAGCAAAACTGCTCCAGATGGCAGCATTGACTGTCTACCGCAACTAAAAGAAAAGTAGAATTACACTTGAAAAAAAGAATCATTCCATTAATTATTCTATTAAGCTATGTCTACATTTAAGTCTATAGCATAGTCTATGGGATCTTAGTCTGATTTTTGACTTTATCCGCAATCTTTCTTTCTATTCTGTTACCGGTACTTTGTTACATGTCTTGATGTTTTGTTCACAAAAACAACATGTGTCTTCTAAAGGCTTTCATTAATAATTAATGGAATGATTCTTTTTTTCAAGTGTAATTCTACTTTTAGATAAGCTTTGTGCAATTCTACAACAGGAGCAAACCTTGCCCTGCAATGAACTTGTAGTTTATGCAATGGTTATCACTTACGACAGCCCAGTTTTTCAACGGAGGTTGTCTTGTTATCACTAGGGAGAAGGACTAAACCAGATAATTAATATCTTTTCACCGTGTGCATCACTCTTCTACCTTGAATAATTCATAATGAATGGGTATTATTAGATTAGAGTCTTGGCATTACATTAAATTACATAGATAATAAAACAAAATATTTTTAAAAAAGTATCCTTTTTTTTTTAAATTAATGTAAAAAATACCAAGATTAAAATTAAACTCTTTTAGCAATACTTTATTTTTGTTGAAGTATTATCGCTATTAATTGACTGCTGAAGACATTTTATAATTTAACCATTAATCTTAAATAAATTCCCTTTCTTTAATTTTAATCATTTTTGCTTTTAACATTCTGATCAACAGGTTTACAGCTCAAGTCACTAACCAGAATGAATCTTATCATTTCACCATTGGTATCTGTGCCGATGTGAAGGGAGGTCAAGGTGTAGCAGTGTGGCAGCAGCCTATGAAAGATGGAAAGATAGTAGAAAAAGATGGAACATTAAATCACATCATTGGATCCCTTAAAGATACACATATTATGACTGGAAGTAAGTTGTCATTAATAACCTTTTTACAATTCCTTGACTGCTTCCCAATCATTAGCTGATGATCCAAGTCTGGGATATCCATTCTTTATTAAGTGTTGATACCGGGTATCAATAATATTTCCCAAAACTAAAAAATGCAATTGATCCATAAATTATTTTATATCCTGTTTCCTTCTTGGCAAAACTCATTAAAATGTGTGTGCAAATGTTTTATTCCTTTTTATATTGCAAATATATGTATTTAACTTCTCTGCACTCATGATTCATTTGAATACTTTCTAGCGGACTGGGTTTTATTAGAATACAAAGGAGGGGAAGTTTATGGATCGCATTGTGGCAGCGAACCAAGAAGAACTTCTATTATGATAACCTGTGATCCAGATGTTGAACTTGTGAGTACCACAAAAAGATACAGATTATAGTAGAGCATCGATTTTACTAACGCCAATTTTCCAAAAAGTTGTGTGTCTGAACAGCCCCTGTCGTTTATTATTATCATTGCTCAAATCAATCCGCATGGTTTGGAAAATTTGTGTACAATCACTGGAAAACAGTCGCACAATCCAGGTAAATTCTAGATATGCACTGTACGTAACTGATCAGACTGGGGTAATCTGATTGTCAAATGAGCTAATAAATATTGCAAAATATGTGTCTGAAAAGACGTGACGTCAGGTTTTACTCTAAGCACCAATCAACTATTATTGGAAACTAACTTTTTTTTATGTTTATAAGTTCAAGTCTCGACTGGGTTATTAATTTTTGTTACATCATTGTAACAACATAGGGTATATTAGTGTTTATCAACATGGGCCACCTCATATTTCTTTGGATCCATAAAAAGGCCAAATGAACTGTTAAAGAAATACTGCAATAAAGCACCACCTTATGTATAAAACTATATGGTTGAATGGTTTTCTTTCAACTTGTTTAGTTTAACCTTATTTAATGGCAGTTTGAGGTTATCTGAAAAAAATTGTTATCTGAAACACCCCTTGTCACAATTAGTTTGGAAAATCTACGCTCTACAGACCCACAGTTAATCGGATATCAGGGACTAAAAAAGGTCCATCAATAATTGATTATCAGTTAAAAACAATCAGACACTCACTTTTAAGAGATATCTGCTGCTAACAATCAAAGACACACTTGCAATAGCTAGTTACATACATAACCAACCCATTATAGTTATCAAATACTAATATCAAAGACCCACTTGGAATAGTTAGTTACATTCATAACCAACCCATTATAGTTATCAAATACTAACATACCGAGAAAATATTTTGACATTTAGGTTAGAAAAATTCTACAAGTGTAAATAAAAAAAGACTACAGTAATTTTATATAAATCTGTAAGTCCGTGGTTGATAGCAAAGTAACCGTCATTAGTGCCTTATTTAATAAAGTGTCTTTTTTTGTTTCTTTCTATGTAGAAAGATGTCAGTCTCAAAGTCTGATTACTTTATTACTTATGATGAAGTTTCTGTGTCTCTATAGAACAATGCTGAAATGATATTCCTGGAAGAAGAGAACACCAAGTCAGACCTGTGCTTCTATTTGTTTGAGCTGAAACACAAGGCAGTTTGTCCAAATCCCTCAGGAGGTGGAGGGCTGAGCATTGGATCCATACTTGTTATTGTGTAGGATTCTTATTTTAATAATAACTCTTTGATAACGCTTAGTCTAAATAAATCTAAGGTTGTTTTTTTTAATGTGACCCATTGGCAGATATGAAAGGTGAATGAATGGCCCTTTGGCAGATATGAAAGGTGAATGAAAGGCTCATTGGAAGATATGAAAGGTGAATGAATGGCCCATTGCCAGATATGAAAGGTGAATGAATGGCCCATTGCCAGATATGAAAGGTGAATGAATGGCCCATTGGAAGATATGAAAGGTGAATGAATGGCCCATGGCAGATATGAAAGGTGAATGAATGGCCCATTGCCAGATATGAAAGGTGAATGAAAGGCTCATTGGAAGATATGAAAGGTGAATGAATGGCCCATTGGAAGATATGAAAGGTGAATGAATGGCCCATTGCCAGATATGAAAGGTGAATGAATGGCCCATTGGCAGATATGAAAGGTGAATGAATGGCCCATTGGCAGATATGAAAGGTGAATGAATGGCTCATTGGCAGATATGAAAGGTGAATGAATGGCCCATTGGCAGTTATGAAAGTTGAATGAATGACTCATTGGAAGATATGAAAGGTGAATGAATGGCTCATTGGCAGATATGAAAGGTGAATGAATGGCCCATTGGCAATATTAAAAGTGAATGAATGGCCCATAGGCAGATATGAAAGGTGAATGAATGGCCCATTGGCATACATGAAAGGTGAATCACTGGCCCATTGGCAGATATGAAAGGTGAATCACTGGTTCATTGGCAGATATGAAAGGTGAATGAATGGCCCATTGGCAGATATGAAAGGTGAATGAACGACTCATTGGCAGATATGAAAGGTGAATGAATAGTGAATGAATGATGTCGTAACTAATAAATCAATGGACCATTTCTTGACATGTATAAAGTCTTATCAAGTTCTTCAGTTCACTCTAAATGTATTCCTGGCAGCTTTTTCACTGTTCTTGGAGTCTATCTGTTCCTTGGATTCCTCTACCAGAGATTTGTTCTCAAGTCAAAAGGCCTTGAACAAATCCCTAACTATGAATTTTGGAAAGACTTTGGCAACCTTCAAGCTGTAAGGAGATTTTACTTATGAATGATATTAATTTGATTTGCATCTATGTTTTTCTTTCAATGATAAAAATAAAATATAATTTTAACTGAATAATATTCTTTAGATTAGAAACATAATTATTGATATTTATCTGTATTACCCGACTTTTAACAGCTATTTTGTTACATTTGATTAGGCAAATATTAGGAGAGTTAATTATTAGTACATCAAGCAGTTAAGTGGCTAGAAAACTATATGGTAGTTAAATGGCTAGACAGCTATATTATTCAGGCAGCTAAGTGAAGCTAGTTGGTTTACTAATTTCTTCTCCTGATTCACTGGTTTACTTGTTCCTGCCAGGATGGTTGTGACTTGATGTGTCGGACCAGAGAGCACCGTCGCATGCATGGGATGGGCGGGCTCGGTGATGACCAACTGGAACCTTCAGATGAAATCAGAGATGACAACCTTTTGCCTATGTAACTGGCGACCTCATTCCGATAATTTTTGTTTTTGAGAATGTTATTATGAATGTCTGCCTGTTAAAACTTTATAAGCATGATATGATTGAGATGCCCAATAATTAGAGGGTTACGTAACATGTTTGTCAAAAATGACAAAATCCCATACTAAATGAATTCAGGGACCCTTACAAGTATACATTTTCTGAAAGTAAATTGGAATCTTATGGTATTTAAAGAATTTATTTAATATTATTTATATTGATCTTGACCTTTACCAAGTGAGTAAAATTTTACTGCATGAAATTCTAAATTCAGTCCAACCTAATACTCCATAAATTGTTCAAACTATCATAAAATAAGTTTTTGATATACTGGAAGCAATATTCTTTCCGAAAAGGTCAAGTTATAGTTACTTATATTGAAAGTTATAATATTTTTGTCTTTCGCTACCTTCAAATTTTTGTCTTACAAAATGCAAGGGGGAGGGCACAAAATGAGTTAAAAAGTTAAGTTATTAAATCCATTTTTTATTAATTAATACTCCTGAAGATACAAAACATAAATGTCTTTGAATTTCTTTAGGGTAGATATTTGGGATCCAATCTTTGTCTCCTCCGTTCGATTTTCAACTTTTCCCAAAGAATTTGTCTGTAACAATACAACTAAGCTTAGGGATAAAATTGTCAAAATCTCACTCTTTTGTCAACATCACTGATTGAGCTAATACTGCCATTACTAGTATGTAGAATATCTCTGAAATCACTTCATTTTAATACATTTGAAATAATTCCAATAACGAAAGTCTATGTTGATAATTTTTTATTTTTTTTTTGTGACGGGCATGGGGTAACTCCAGTTCAGGCATAGTGGAAGTAATACAAATTTCACACCCGATCACAAAACAAGCCCTGATAAAAGCATGTTAACACAGAGATAGAAATAGAAATGGGTTGCAAATTCATTTATAAAGAGTGATTTTTCCCCTTAGCCAATATAAAATCATTTTCATTTTTAATGATGATTTTGCTAGTGTGAAACTATAGAAAGGGGTATAATGGCCCATCTTGACAGTTAGGGTTAAAAAATAAATGATTTTGTTTACATCAAATTTTTTTTTCTACATGGTATAATTTTAAAAATTACTTGACATGATTTCAAACCTGTTAGATCATGTTATAAGAAACACTGACAGCCTTGTTACAGCTTCGGTTGCCATCTTGAGCAATGGCTCATTAGTCGGCATGGAGCATTACACCAATGTTTTAAATTAATTTTTTTATTCATCTTCATGTAAAATGTAGTTATCATAGAATAATATAGACAAGATGGGTATACAAAAACATTATACTTACCATAGAATATAGACAAAGGTAGATATAGAATATAGACAAAGGTAGATATAGAATATAGACAAAGGTAAATATCAGAATATAGACATGGGTAGATAGCATAAAATATAGACAAAGGGGGTATACAAAAACATTTGTGATAACTTAGAAGATTGACAAAACTATATGTAGATATAGAATAGATGGGGAATTGACATTATTGGTATTGAACATATCATACTATATAAATGCAGGGGATTTACAATGCTATATGGTAATATAGTATGGGGGTAGCGACAAAGCTATAGGTCACAATATAAAAATAGAGAACATGGGGGTTAGTCAAAACTATATCTTAATAGAGATTGAGGACTTGTGGGATAGACTGAACTAAGTACCATACCATAAAAAATAAAATAATGTTCTAAATTGTGTACAGCATTCCTATGATAATGTCATTACAATATGATGATCATCCACTGTGTGTCCCATGAGAAGTTTTGTTTTATAACACAGGTGCAAGTATTTCATTTGAAAAGATTTTTTACTCCAGTTCCATTGTGGCAAATATATATATTTTTTTGGGTCTATGCCCGGTTCCTAAGATCTAATTTTTTAAATATTAATAGGGTGTCACTTTGTAAAGAAATATTTTTAATTTCTTGTTAAAGTGATTCCCAGTAAATTGAGTAATGATATTACAAAAAAATCAAGCAATTCTAACAAAAAACATAAATTGTACAGAAAATATTGTATTTTTACATAATATTTTTGTTAATTGTATTTAAAAATTGTCAAATGTGTAGAAGATCAATTTAGATAAGATAGTTTAGATAGTAAATCCCATGAGAAACAAACTGACTCATGTGTATTGTTACATCAAAAGCAGAGATGAGTTTACAACAAGAAAAATCAACAAAAACAAGAAACATGTAAGCGATTTATCACATGTTCAACTTGAAGAGACTTTTTATGTTTATTTTATTCTTTTTTCTTTCATTTAAAATGAGAGGGACAATTGGAGGGAAATCTTTTCTTATTGTCTTTAACATTAACGTTTTCAAGTTTTTTATTATCACTCTACTTCTTTACTCGGATGGATGTTTAAATTATTTCTTTTTGCTATTAATGTTAACGTATTGATGTATTAAAGTGTGACCATAACTATTATTTAATTATAGTTTGTCATTAGTTACAGCATTGTCTACGACCAATAGTTCTTATCTAATTCACTGCTCGTCATAGTTTTAAAAATTTGATCAATTAAAATTGTTTAACAAGACAGTACTAGGCTCCCAGAAAAGCCCTTTGAAGGGGAAAAGACACTACTACATTGAATTATCTTTTTAAAATTAGGTAATTAGTAATGCAATCTGAGGTGTCCGTTGTACAATGATGTTGATAATGGGTGATAAATGGACTACCAGCTGCCGTGAAAAATAGAAAATGAGATGAAGGTGATAAATAGGCTATGGGCTGATGGTGACCAATTTGCAGAGGTAATGGTGATAAATGGACTATGGGCTGATTGTGAACAATGGGAAATGAGATAATGGTGATAAATAGGCTGATGGCCAATAAAAAATGTGTGGATAAATGGAAATTGAAATGGTTGTTGCAGTGAGCTAGAGCAGGCCTGCACAACTCAAAATGTAAGGCGGGCCATAATACTTTATGAAAAACTTGTGCAGGCTCTGAAAGAAAATAGGGCGGGGGGGGGGGGGGGAGGGGAGGAAAGCTATTAAGAAAATAATAATAATAAAGAATATTTCGTTACTTCGCAGGCCGCTAAGTGGTTTGTTGGCGGGCCATATTTTGTGCAGGCCAGAGCTAGAGTGTTAAAAAGTGCCTTAGATAAGTTTTGTGTGAATGTAAAAACAATAACAATTTGACCCATTTTAATAACTCATTTTTTACTTTTTTCATTGATGGTTCTTGGTATTGTTTGCTGTGATATTTTTTCTCACTTCACAAAAGCAATATAACATATGTTTTAAGGACTTGAATATACATAAAAATAATCGAATATATTATGATACAATAAATTGTCCTGGGACTTGGTAAGAGAATACAATCCCTTTAACTTTAACAATGCTAGTGAGCTGTGGATGACAGTAAAGTCTTGATGTTATTAGACTGCAGGCAGAAGTTAACGTGTGGCACAGTACTGAAGATCTGGCTCACAATCCACATGAAACCTTTATCACTGAAGACTTAACATTGGGATTGTATTGTAGTGGCTGTTAGCTTAGTTCTTTCTTTAAAGTAAATTTAAGCTTTATGTGTGTTTGGGATTGTTTAGGTTTTCAGCATTCTATCTAGTTGTTAACTTTTTGTCCATTGCTATGTCATTCATTTATATTTTTTCATCTGATCATATTATCTTATCACTTGGCTTCTATTGAAAGTAACTTTGACACCTGTAATCAAATGGAAGGCCACTTGTCCTTTTGATTCCTCTAGTTTCTTGTGGCATACCATGTTTTTGAAAATAAACACATTCATTATGTTTATTATTGTAATCATGACATTTTTTTAAAAACAATTAAACTTGACAATTTAAAGTTAAAGAGTTGTTTTCTCATTGAGTATGTATATAATATATATTTTGGCTGCAGTAATTGAGTATGTATATAATACATATTTTGGCTGCATTAATTGAGTATCTATATACATATTATAAATTTTGGCTGCAGTAATTGAGTACGGTATGTATATACAAATTATATATTTTGGCTGCAGTAATTATAAATATATATATATATTATTATATGTTTTGGCTGCAGTAATTGGGTATGTATATACCCAGTACATATTATATATTTTGGCTGCAGTAATTGAGTATGTATATACATATTATATATTTTGGCTGTTGGTGTTATCTCAATGGTATACACACACAAAAAATCACCCAATTTAATATGACTTCAAATAAAAATATTTGATTAGGCAACACATTCAGCATGAAAATGAAGATTTATCTTGTGTGATGAAATTTAAGAGTGTAAAAAAAAATTTTTATAGTCTTAAACATAAAATGTTAAAATATTTCTAAACCTATAATTTATCCATTTAATAAATTATCCTTTTTTAAATTTAACACAAGGCTATTTTTTTTTAAACTGAAGTAAATTTTTTAAAATCTACTGAAGCTCTCAAAAGTCAAGCTGTCTTGGCTCTCTCTCAGATTCTCAAAGGCAACATAATATATACCTGCAGGGTTGCGTCCTGCAGGTTTGCATCCTGCAGGGTTGCATCATTAATCTGCAGGTAATTTGTTATCCTGCAAATTAATAAATTGGTGTTCTTTTTGACAGATTATTTGGCTAAAAATACAGTCCAGAGTATAAGCCCCTTTCGTGTGGCACTCACTGCATGTGCCATGTCTTGCCACTCCCAAATTATAAATAAGTATTACACACTGTGGTGTTTGAAATTATTTATTTGTTTAATTTAAACTTTGCATCAGACATTAAGCACAAGGATTGCATAGATTTGTGTTTTCTAGAATTAAGTTAGCCTACATTTATGTTTTGCATTTGTTTTAAGCCATTGGTGCTTTTCAGCAAAATTTAACATGCATTTCTCTGTCCTAAATTAAACCATTTTAATTATTTAAAAAAATAATAACAGACCTAGGGCTATACAGAAAAGTAGTTTATAATTTGCATGAAGATAATTCTTCAATAAGAAGAAATGACTTGTTACATAAAACTAGATTACAATATACGATTAATTAATAAGAATTATGGACATTAAAAAAAATTGCAAGGGTGTGATATCCATTTTGTCAGGCTGTGTAGGCGCCCACCTTAGTGAGAACCCTGAATGCAAGTGTCATTTTCACAACAGTTTTGCTGAACTCAACAACACAAATGCCAAAAGTGGTGAATCCAACCCCTGGCTTTAGATGATACCCGGGTATGTGGGAAATTAGCCGCATGCATATGTCAAAAGATGTGAAACACTGAAATTCCTTCCCGGTTTCCAAATCGAAATAGGGTCATGAACTCGCGGAGGTTTTTCTCGGGTCGCCTACTTATAAAGTGCAATAATCTTTGGGTCGAGATTCAATCTCTTAGGACCCTGGCCATGAAACATGACCTAGTAGTCCCTAACGACTCCGGCCATGGAACACGGTCATAAGTTAGAAGTTTGGGCAAATATCTTCCACTCATTGAGGAGGAGACTTTGCGTTGCCTCCTCCCTTGCCCATTGACTGATTGAGTCATTCGGTCGGGACATTGGGTTGGTTGGCTTTGCTTCCTCTTCGGAGATGGTTTTGCGTTAAATCTCCCCACCGCCCAGGGAGTTGTATGGTCTGAGGTGTGGAACAGCTTTGCTTCCTCTCCGGGGGAGATCTTGAGCGTAACCTCCTCCCACCGTCCAGGGAGTTGTTTGGTCTATGGGTCGGAACAGCTTTGCTTCCTCTCCGGGGAAAGGTGTTGCGTTACTTATCCTCACCGTCCAGGGAGCAGTTGGTCAGGACTAAATCGGGACGAAACGGTCACCTAGGAGCGGCTTTCTCAAGGTTGCAAGTTTTTAATCCTCGGCAAGGGTTTTGTTTTCACCCAGGCTTCATATCCGTTATCGGCGACACGTAATCATGTTAGCGCGCAACTTCCGTTGCGTTGGAAGTCATGCGTTTGGCTGGGATTTTTTAGCTTCAGGAGGAAACCTCCCTACTGGTCCGTCACGCCACGAAAAGGCAAAATCCCATGTAACACCACCGAGCCAGTGATGCTGAGCTTCGACCTCACTGTGCTGGGTCTCGGCCCGACGGTTGGTTGCCTACTAACTAAATAACTTATGAAAATCAGCGGACACCGAGCCCTTGTAGGCTCATATGGTCCTCCCCAACGCACCACCCCGCCAACCAGATCGGCCGTCAACCACTCCCCCAGTGGTCTTTTGTCAACTCCTACACGTCTTCTTGGATTGATTACATTCGTCAGTTCTTTCATACGTTGAAGCGTCGTACTATTCTCACTATCAATTAACAAATTCAACTCCTTTTCATAATAACTATAACTTTAATATCTAAGTAAATATAATAAACATCCTATCACTCCAAGGTTCCACTCAAGACTGCCCCACGACTACAACATACGTCACAGCACTGCATAGACAATACGTCACGACTCAGCATAAAAATACGTCATAAATACAATGGCGGGAAGAGCGTTCACTAACTATAATAGTCAAGCGCGGGAAAAGCGTTCAACAACTAATGAACATAATATTGAGTCGCAACAATTCCTAATGAACGCTCATNACGCCAGGGACGCTCCGCCCCTAAGACCGCCACACTCGACCTCCACTCGATTGGCCGCTGAGTGTGGCAGCCCCAGAGAAGAAACACCTGGCCAGCCGGATTGCTGCTCACGCAGCAACAGGGCCGGACTTTCTAAGGGGTTGGGGTGGATATTTAACGTCTCTAAAGTCCCCCCTTACCACCCCGGGGGGACCGCGTAGTTGTTTAAGACCGACGCCCTCTACTAGGGTTTGTGTGGTTATTCTACGGCGCGACTAATTCACACCGTAGATGGGAGAGAGAGGTTGCCTAGGAGCAGTACCCTCAAGACTGCATATTTAGAATCACCGATGAAAGGTTGCCACACACCTTCACCTCATATCCATACGGCAACTGTAATCATGCCCCAACCTGTTTCTGCGTTTAGTAAATTAATTCGACTGCACTTGGTGGGAAGCCATGCAGCAATCGTGCTCGTTCTAACGCAGTCTCCGTGCGTTACCTTTGCCTTTCAGCGCGGGTCCCCTACACGGTGGTACTGTTCCCCGGGTAACGCTTCAGGGGGTTCGTGGCGAGCGCCTCTTTATCGACATGTCATTGACCGACATGACGACAAGAGCCCCGGGGCTGGTTGCCTACTAACTAACTAACTTAAGAAAATCAGCGAACACCGAGCCTTGAGGCTCATATGGTCCTCCCCAACGCACCACCCCGCCAACCAAACCGGCCGTCAACCACTCCCCCAGTGGTCTTTATTCCGATCGGGCCGCGAAGCGGCACGCCAGGGACGCTCCGCCCCTAAGACCGCCACACTCGACCTCCACTCGATTGGCCGCTGAGTGTGGCAGCCCCAGAGAAGAAACACCTGGCCAGCCGGATTGCTGCTCACGCAGCAACAGGGCCGGACTTTCTAAGGGGTTGGGGTGGATATTTAACGTCTCTAAAGTCCCCCCTTACCACCCCGGGGGGACCGCGTAGTTGTTTAAGACCGACGCCCTCTACTAGGGTTTGTATGGTTATTCTACGGCGCGACTAATTCACACCGTAGATGGGAGAGAGAGGTTGCCTTGGAGCAGTACCCTCAAGACTGCATATTTAAAATCACCGGTGAAAGGTTGCCACACACCTTCACCTCATATCCATACGGCAACTGTAATCATGTCCCAACCTGTTTCTGCGTTTAGTAAAATAGTTCGACTGCACTTGGTGGGAAGCCATGCAATCGTGCTCGATTTAACGCAGTCTCCGTGCGTTACCTTTGCCTTTCAGCGCGGGTCCCCTACACGGTGGTACTGTTCCCCGGGTAACGCTTCAGGGGGTTCGTGGCGAGCGCCTCTTTATCAAACATGTCATTGATCGACATGACGACAAGAGCCCCGGGGCGCTGGTTGCCTACTAAAATATTTGATTCACTTTCCATTTAAATCGATGTCCAGATGAAGTTTCAATAAATTCATGATAAGCTAATACTAATACTATATACAGACGGTAATAGGCAGCGCAGTGTCGAGGAAACGCGGCACCCGGGCCGGGGCGAAACCTGAAAATAGCGCCCTCATATTATTATTATTAATTAGGTGGTTTTATATAGCACAGTATCCCAGCCTAGGGCTAAGCTCACTGCGCTTCGCATAAAAATTAGCAATTTTATAATTTAAAAAGAGCCGCCCGTGAGACCAGTAAAAAGACGAATTGGACGTAACTTGGTCCCGTGGCCTCGTCTTTTTAATTTGTAGTCACTGTGACTATGCCATGACCTCTCCTTCCCCCCTCCCCACATCTTCCTATGGCCCTAAATATAGGCCTGATACTATTTAAAATATTATTTTCGACGAATTTTCTCTAACCGTCTCGATAGATGCCTCCGCTTTTTACAAGTAAATAATATATTATGATTACTGTTCATCTATTTTTGTTTCGTTAAATATACTTGAAGTTTTTATATAATTATTTGTTTTAGAATTTTAGAGTCTTTTTCAAAAAGACATGATATCCGCCGGAAGTCTTAATCCTCTCTAAAAATAACCCGCAATTCACCCTGCTGCTGCGATTTTCAAAAAATAAATATTATCATTTAATTATTGAACAAGTGAAGTTTGCATTATCTTCATTCAAGGATATTTTGGCAATGTGGAAGAACTGGAATCCGTTTAGGAGAAAACACAAGGAAGAAGATAATCTTTTAAATGGTGATTATGGTAAAGAAAATACAAGGGATGAAATGTCAACAATTCCAACTAATACTCAAACTACCGAATCCGCAATTCATGTTTCTGATAATGAAATAGACCATCATCAATTAAGAAATAGGTCTACCCACTTTCAACAAAATGAATTTGTTTCACATCAAATTAATGGAGTTAATGGTCGAACATCCGTTTCATTTAACTCGCAAGACGAAAATAAATTACACCACTCCAACAATCGGCACCCACAGTCTCCTTTGCGACTAAGCCTTAAAAGTCAAACTGTGGCTAGGTTGCATGATAATTTGAATAGATCATTACCTATATCAGATGATAGGCTTTTATTTAATAAAAATGTTAATAGATCAATTAGAGAGGAGCACACAAATAATTCAAATATTGATCAAATGGTGAAGATTAAAGAAGATAACAGGAGTTTCAGTGGAGTTCATGGACCATTGCTGTCATCCCCAATTGTTCCTAAAGTCAGAAGAGCCCTTGAGTCAAGTGTACAACTAAGAAGGTAAATTTAATTATGAACTTTATTATTGACATGAGGCTAAATAAAAGAATATATAATATAAAATTATAAGGTGCTAAAAGTACTTTTTATTTAGGTGCATAGATTATTTCTAAACAAATTTTGTAGTTATTTTTTTTCAAGTCATGGAAAAATGATGGATCACCAGTAATAGTGGAAATCGATGAGTTGAAGTATTCTCAAAATTTCGTATTAAATAGGAGAGGCGAGTTGTGCACATGGCTAATAGCGTATAAATGTATGACGTTGTTCATCAAGAGAATTTTGGGCTAATGATCATTCGAGATGCCACGACTTATTTTCCAGGGAGTGACTTCCCTTTGTTTATTTTTACTAAATTATTTTAGGGATCGATTTAGGGTTCAGGTGAGGCATAGGGATTGATTAGGGTTCAGGTTAGGCAGAGGGATCAATTTTCATTAAGGGTTCAGGTTAGGCATAGGGATAGATGACTTCACGTGACGTGTCAATCAAGATGGGGGTCACTGATAAAATAGTAGCATTTTCAGTGACCATTTTCTGAATTTTGTTGAAACTGTGGATAGAGAGGTGCTCATGGAAAACATGTGGATTTGAAATATTATCAAACTTTGCTTTCAATTTGAAACTGTCTATGATTCTGTTCCATTCATATCTTCACAAATTTACACTCCTTAACAAGTTTCACAACCAACACATGTTTGTCACCTTTTTTAAAGATCATCACAGTCACAGAGACCTATCCAATTTGAAAACCTAATGACTAATGACATGACTGCTGTGACATAACATTATAATATAATAACTTGTTTTATTTGCGTTAAAAATAAATTAATAATTTACGCTCCTAAAATGCTCTTAAACCATACACCGCTTATAGTCATAGTAGACCCAAGTTCAGTATAAGTATAGGGATGGTGCATACCATAGCCAGGACAGAAATGAACATTATCTGAACATTTTTATTTAAAATATACAATTTTCCACCAACCTCAGCAGTTGTAATTAATGCTTTTCATCAGATATCACAAGCATTGTAACAGACATTTATAATACAACTAGGCCTAGATATTATTAATTTAAAAATCGCTTAAACTAGGCCTTTAACTTAACTATACCAAAGTCAACATATCTCTACATAAATTAAATTTGAAATATTTCAGAAATCAGTAAGTTAGGCAGTTAGGAACGATATAGGTATTCTAACTTTGCTGAAGACTTGTAAATTATGTCTGAAAAAACAAAATTGTAACTGGTTGAGTTGAAAAATATAGCGCCAGTAGCAATGCTAACAATTAGGCTAAAAACTAAAAATGTAATTCTAAGTGCAGGATAGTGTTAAAAGTTGTTATGGCTAGCTTAAGATTTTCAAATAAAAGAAGGCCTAATAAATTTTGTTTAGTAAGTATGAGAACATCTCTTGTCCCATAAATGTTATTTCTTCTTGATATTCTGAATTTTTTAGTCCAAGAACAACCGGATTGCAAAATGGGAAGCCTGTTGGTCGATCAATGAGTTTGAATTATGGATCACAGAATCCAGCAAAATCAACAGCTGGTCAGATTCCATGGGTTCGTTTAAAAAGAAGAGAGTCCATAGGATTGACAGAATTGGCTAGTGGAAATATTCCACAAAGTCCCAATACAGTGAAATTGGCAGCACCAGAACATAGACACCTACCTGCAGCACCTAGGTGAATAATGATAAAACTGTCTGATTTATTGTTGAAATAGTCTGTTGGAAGTAAATTCATTAATTCATAAAAAATGTTAACATTGGGTAAAGGTTGTCACAATTTTTTTACATAAGAGTATTTCTTAATCTTAAAACATTAAGATATATTTGAAATAATGTTTATTATTGTTGTATAAAGAAAAAATAAACGCTAATAAAAAGAAACTAAAAATTTTTTTGTATGTGTGTTTTCAGTTTTAAAAGTACCCCATTGATTGTTACAACAGAGGCTAGCAGAAATTGTGTAGTTGATACCCAGACTGTTGTATCTGCACTACGAGAGAAAAGGTAATAAGTAAAAAAAAAATTCAATGATCAATTTTACTTTTATTATTAGTTTATCTCACCCTCTAGCAAAATGTAAAGTACAATTCTAATAGAAGTATTCATGTAAATATTTAGAAATCATGAACTTCTTATTGACGACATGTGTTTCCAGCATAAATTAAATAACCAACAAACTATTAAAAACTTGTTTCAGAAAAAGATTTGGCACAACCCAACAAGAAGGTTCTGTATGTGAAGACACATGGAATAGCTCTGCAAAGAGACGGTAATTGCACCTTGTCTCGTTCTGATAAAAAAAATGAAATTTATGCTAATAATGTTACCCATTCATTTTAATCTGTATTATATATATAGATACGGTACAAATAGTTCCTGCAAAAATGATTGAGGTTATTGGTCTTTCTCCTAAAAATATTGTTTTATCCATAACCAGCATCCTATATAGGAACAAAAATCTCTAAAATTTAATCTAAATATCTTGTTTATTTATCAGACGCCAAGACAGCAGCCAATCAAATGCATCATCAGTGTCAATGCCACCTATGCCAGATTCATTGCCTAATTTAATGGGGACCCCAGGCACTTCCTTACTCCATATTGAAAATCTGGCAGACCAGAGGCCTTCAACTGTGCCCGCAATCGATGCGTTCATTAGTCATCATCATCGTGTGATGGGCTTAGGTGGAGAAAGAAGCCCCCAACAGCCTCAGCAGTTTTACCATAAACAGCACCAGAAAAACAATGAAAGTAGCAGTAAATCTGTGCTGAGGTCTATCCAGTCATCTCTGAGCTCAAGTTTGAGGGCAAAAACCAATCTTTCCATGGTAATTTTAGACTTGTGTTAAGTTTTCAAACCAATTGATGGGGTTCAATGTTTTAAAATGCTCTAAAAGGTGTAATGAATATACAAGTGCTTCAAATCTTGGTGTTGAGGCTAGCAATATTATTTTTCTACCTTAATATTGACATTGCAATTGCAAGCTGTAATAAATAAATTGTGCCAAGAAAAGTATTATTTAGACAATTACTTATTTGGAGGTAATATGTCCGCTTAAAGATGATCAAACTGCACTTAAAACATTAAGTTATTTTTATTGGAACCTGGCAATATCCTAATTATCTGTCATCTGCTTGCAGATAACCAATATATCTTAACCATAATTATGTATATTTAATCACTTTACATAAATTAGCTTTTTGTTCATTACAGCTGCAACAAACAGGGATAGATGTAAAACGGTTGCGAGCGTTATCACAATCAAAAGAAGCTAATCGTAAGATGTCCGTCGATTCAGACATGTCTGCGCTAGGCACTGATGAAAGGTAAGGACTGAAGCATCAAATTCATCCCATGTTGTTCATTCTAGTTATTACTATTTACTTTAGAGGGGGTGTTACAGATAGTATCTCTTTAAAATGTTGAAGAGGCCCTGATTTCTTTTTATCTAACAATTTGTTCTAAGAGAAATACTTGACAATTGAGATTTGAACAATTAACTGTGCGTATCTTGTGACACAGGTTACTATCTATTTTTAAATATTTGAAATTAACTTCACTTTTTTTCCTGGCTGGCAAAATCTTCGGCATGGCTTAATTGGCCCATTTCCCATTCCCATATCAAGCTGAAACTTAGCCAGGGTAATAAGGGGAGAGACTGCAATCAGGTTAGCACAATTTAGAATGAATAAAATAGAGTAGGGTTAAACCTGAAAAAAGAAACGCAACATAACAACGAACGTGTCGGCAGAAAGCCTTCGCCAGCGAACAAAACAACAGAAAAAAACGGTATAAAAATAAAAAATATCACTTAGCTTGGACATAGTATCCGTGGGCAGCAAAAGAAATGTGCTAAGTTTTAAAGTTATTAAAATGAAAAAAAACTTTGTTTTTAGGGGTTTTTTAATTCCAGATGAACTAGTTTCATTTTTAATGTGAAAAACCAATGCTGATACAAATATTATTTTTGTTACTGGTAGTTAGATTTTGTATGCCTATATTAGTTCCCATGATCTTAAAGGCTTGTGGTATCTTTCAAGTTAAATATGATTCTCATCTCGTAACAGTCTGGCTGAGCCCAATTCCAAGATAACAAGAGAGGATACTCTTCCAGTGGTGACCACAGGATTATCATCGCTTTCAACCCCAGCAGCAGCCTCCGTAACGACAATCGCAGATATTGTAATTTTTTAATCTTATTTTCATAATTGATTTAAAATATAAAACTTAAACTGAACTAATCGATTTGGTGCTCCCAGCAAACACTCCTTTTTATTTTCAAGAAGAAAGCACCTGAAGTCTCACCATCTTTGTTTCATGCATCTGTAAGAAAGTTAATAACTGGACAGCTTAGGTTGTCATGTCTCTAATGTTAATATAAAATTATTATTATTTTTTTTTTTTTTTAGCTCTTGACATCAACACCTGTCATGACACCAGTTAGCAGAAAAATTGCTGAGGGTGTGGTATTAAGAAAACACAGTCTCTCCACCAATCCCAGCCCCAGTCCTGTCAGGCCACTAAAGGTGAAAAAACATGCTATCTAATCTAATAAAACCTAGTCTTAAGTCATTTCTGTGCATATTGCTCTTGATATACGGAAATGTTTTTTATTTTTATTACATTGTGCATATTCAGTGCACAGATAAATATTTTAAAACTAGAATAATTCCAACACAGGACATGTAAAAGTATTTCTCAAGCGCAAAAACCTGCCATTTTTAGCCATGGAACTTCTCTATCTTGGTAACAATATTGAGTTTAAGAGTGATCATTTAAATTTATAATAGCTAGGGAAAGACACTGGTATATTCTAATAGTTTGCGGGGAAAAAATTAATGAATTTTTATATCTTTTAGCCAGCCCAAACTTAGAGAGAAAGAATTCAAGCTGTTGTTAGGTATCTGTGATGAAGAGGGTGGGATATATCCTCCAAAATTGGTTTAGATTTACAAATGCATATTGCTTCAAATTGTTCTTCAAGCCAATGTAGTTTTGTTTGAGTGCTATTAATTGCATTGAGAGGTCGATGTTATGTTTCAAACAACCTTAAAAATATATACTCTCTAATTGTTTCATGTGACACTTGGTTGGGTGTAGAATTTATTGACATGAAAATTTCAAATCTCATCAAGGCCTAAACATTGACTAACCCAGGACTGTCCACTTTTAAAAGTAAAGGGTTGCAATGCCAATTTTGGAGGACCCTGCAATCAGTAATTTAAAATAATAATATTACTCTGCAATAAACTATCTTTCATCAGACCTCTTGAACTTTTTTATTTATATGTTACATGAGACATCTTCTAAAGAATTTTTATGGAAGTCCTTTATTTTTAAAGATAGCTCTGAGATAGTTGGCTATAAATAATGAACCAAAGTCTCGGAGATTAATAAGAAATCTGCCTGATTTCAGTCTTTGTTGACTATGTGAGATAAAATTATTATGGCTTTTAGATTGATTTATGTCTTGATTGTTACTCATTGTTCTTTCCAGGTTTCCTCCCAGGCTTTCTATACAAAAAATATACTAGCCACATTCCGTTGACTTGTTTGTAAAACCATATTAACCTTCCAATCCTCCAACTTAGGCTGTTCACACAAATATGCTTGCCACCTTCCGTTGACTTGTTTTTTTAACCCATATTACCTTCCAATTCTCCAACTTAGGCTGTTCACACAAATATACTAGCCACCTCTAGTGATTTTGAAAGAGATAGACAGAGAGAATACAAACGAAGAGTTGTCGACTTGTTAAATGGGGATGAGAATAGTGAAGGCGCAGGTAAGATTTGAAAATCTATTTTGTTATAAGATTAAAAGCGGAAAAGCGTTCCCTTAAATAAATGTTTCTAATTTCCCTGTCTGTATTATGAGAATAACCACACAAATATTGATTTATGCTCCTTTTTAAGTTGTTTACTTGATATGGGGTTTCATAAATTAAATGCCCTTACAATTGATAATCCATTAACTTGTAGATAGATAGCTGTTTAGTGTATTAATAAATTAAGTTTTTAATATACTTTTCTAGTAACAAAAACCTCATCTGAATTCACAATGATATCTGCCTCACCATCGAGCACGCTCGTTGCTTCGTCAAGCCAGAGCATGTTACCAGTGGCAACGTCAGCAGCGGTTAGTGCCAGTTTAGACAGCCTCAAACTTATACAGTCAGCAGCAGCGCCATCAATGTCTACAACTGCTGTCTCAGCATCTAATGCTGTCAATTCCTTGTCACAGCTTCTGAAACAAGATGAAGGTAAACATTGAAATGGGGGAACATGCCTGAAATCTTGAAGATAAAATTTATTTGAGCACTGTTTAAACAAATCATAATACACACCTTCTCATTCCTGAAATCTATACAAATAGAGAATGTAGACAAAAGACAAGCTGGGCGCTGTGAATTTAAAAAAAATTTTTTAAAAATAAATTTTGAGCTATTGGTATATTTCTATACCTTGCGCAATGTTAACAAAAAAAAATTTCTTTTCGTGAAACTTCATTTGCCACCTTATGAAGAACCATACTAGTAGTGTTTACAGATTATAGATGGTATTGAGAACAAATTCTTCAAATCTGGATGAAACACCAGAGAAATGTAGTTTTCTGAACAAGACAATAATCACATCATGTCTTAACTGTTCTTATAATAATTATTATTTGTTGGGGAAAGGGGGGGGGGGTGTTATTAAAATAGGATGGAATTTTTTAAAATAAAAGGGTATTTCTGAACAAGACAATAATCACATCATGTCTTAACTGTTCTTATAATAATTATTATTTGTTGGGGAAAGGGGGGGGGGGGGTGTTATTAAAATAGGATGGAATTTTTTAAAATAAAAAGGTATTGTTCAGATTTCCTCATAATCAATTAAAGTCATTAAAATTTAAATATTTTGAGTTTAAACCTCTGCTAGTTGGCATTAAAAAGACATTTTAACCTTAAAGACTAATTATATTACATGTGGTCTACTGGTTCTGAATTAACAGGACATTTATATTTGTGGCTTGTGTGGAAAAAATGAACTGTTTAAATCTTTGAAACACAAATGAACTAAAGATGTGTGTAAATGTCTCTCTTTCAGGTGTTGCTACCAGTGCAGCAGCTGTAACCAGCACAACCACGGGTGTATCACTCCCAGGTATTAACCTATGAATACAAATAATATATTTATTTTGTTTGGCTTAATTATATTTTTATATTCTAGCTTTCTGGAGATTTGCAACCCAATATGTAGAGATATTTAATTTTCACACAGTATCGTGGTTTAAACCATTTATCAATCTTTTGCTCCACATAAAGTTAAAACATTTTGTCTGGACTAAATAAAATGTAGCATAAATGACCTTTTCTCCAGCGCAACTTTTGTTGGGCAACTCTTCTGCTCCTTCTACCACTTCATCTTCGACAAGTACAGCATCCGGTGGATTCAACTTTAGTGCAGGCGTACCGGCAGCAGCTGAATCAAGTGGATTTCAAATAAATTTTGGCAATGTTGCTTCCAGTTCTGGATCAACACCTTCAACTGATACAACTGGGGTGAAGGACAAAAGTGGCTTCAGCTTAGATTTGGCCAGCAGGACCACTTCATCCTCTGCGGGGTCCAATCCAAGTATATCTTCGGCTCACTCCTCAGGGGACGGCTTTGGGAGTGTAACTGCTCCATCAGCTGCTACAACAAGATCTATTTTCGCACCCACCACTTCACTAAGCTCAGGGCCGATGCCTGGGCTTAACCCAAATCCAAGCACTCAGGCCAACCAAGGGTTCAACTTTACGAGTTCTTTGCCAATCTCAAAAACTGAGTCAGCATCCAGCACACCCTCCTTCAACATAAGTAAGGATGAAGCAGGTGTCAACAAATCTTCTGGGTTTACTTTTGGATCCGGGGCTGTTCAGTCGACATCCTCTGCAACATCACTCACTTCTGCAGGACTTCAGTCAGGGTTCAGTTTGTCTGGTGGATTTTCTTTTGGGGGTGTAAACAAAACAACCCAAGCAGGCAATGGCGGTTTCACTCTTGGGTCTGGTGAAACTCCCAGTTTTACCGTTAGCACTGCATCATTCCCAGGTCAACCGACACAGTCCAGTGGAGTAGTAATAAATAGATTGACAGCTTTAGATACAACAGCCGCACCAAGTGGACCTACTGCCCAGCCATCACTTTCATTTGCTGCCACAACACTCCCTGCAGCTTCCACTGCAGCAAGCCTGACAATGTTCAACACTGGTGTCGGATCATTTGGTACTGGTCAACAGCCTTCCACCGGCAACGCTCCATCGTTTTCAATTTTAAATTCCGGTTCAACAACCGACGCAACTCCTAATAAATTTGTATCAACAACCACGGTTCCATCTACAGGAACATTCAACTTTGGACAAGCGTCATCACAGGCTCCCAGCTCGACTACTTTCAGCTTTGGACAGACAACAGCCGCCGCAAACTCCACACCATTTAATTACGGACAAACAAGCACGGCTGCAAGCTCTGCACCATTTAGCTTTGGACAGCCAAGCACCAACTCCGGACAAACTGCATCAACAGCAGCGCCATTTACATTTGGACAAAGTGCAACAGCCAGTTCAATGCCTTCTGGATTCAGTCAAACGAGCACAGCTTCATCTGCTAATCCGACCCCATTCAACTTTGGGCAAACTGCCGCTAGTACAAATTCAACATTTACTTTTGGAGCTCCTAAAACACAAGCTATTGCTGGCAGTATATTTGGATCATCCTCGAATGCTGGTGCAGTAACCACCAGTGCTATGTTTGGCAGTACAACAACCGTCACCATGGCGAGCTCTTCTATATTTGGCACAGGGGCTGCCCCAGTGTTCAAAACATCATCTACATTTGGAAATACTGCTACGGGATTTGGCAGTAACAGTGCTCCGAGTTTCAACAGTCAAGGAGCAACATCAGCTTTTGGCTTCTCAACACCCACGACAGCACCACCAGCGTTTGGTTCAGCCTCCAGCAATCTTAACGGATCAGGTTTTGGGGGCTCCGCTTCGCAAACCAACAAACCATTTACTTTTGGTGCTAATGTAGCACCAACAAACACAACCCAATCATCTATATTTGGAACTAATAGCACCCAACCACCTCCATTCAGTTCTAGTACCACTCAACCTTCCCCCTTTGGTACCACAACCAACAACCAGCCACCCTCGTTTGGTACCACCACCAACCAGCCACCTCCATTTGGTTCAATCACTACACAACCACCCCCATTTGGAACAAGCACCAACCAGCCACCCCCATTTGGTACAAACGCCAACCAACCACCCCCATTTGGTACAAGCACCACCCAACCACCCCCATTTGGTACAAGCACCACCCAACAACCCCCATTTGGTTCCAGTACCACCCAACCACCCCCATTTGGTACAAGCACTAACCAACCCTCTCCATTTGGTACAAGCACCACCCAACCACCTCCGTTTGGTTCAGCCTCCAATCAGCTGTCTGCATTTGGATCTAATACTGTCTTTGGTGCACCAACCATTCAAACCCCATCCATGTTTGGTTCTAAGTCCTCGTCTGTCTTTGGCGCAACCTCTGGCCCTGTATTTGGAGCATCTACCAATGTCGCAACTACCACTGCTGCACCAACATTTGGTTCGTTCACTGCTTCAGGTTTCGGAACCCCTTCAGTATCCCAGCAGAATCCTGCATTTGGAGCCACTTCGCAGTCTTTCAATCCATCCGCAGTGGCCACATTTGGCACACCTCAAAAATCTCTATTTGGATCCACAAGCGCATCGAGTTTCGGTACTCAGGTCAGCCAGAGTACAGCAAATCCAACTCCCTTTGGTGGAGCAACTGCATCTACAGCGGGAAGTGGTGGTTTTGGAGCTACTAACACTTCATTATTTGGAGCTGCGACAACGCAGTCTGCATTCAACTTTTCTGGAGCGCAGACACAGCAGTCAAATGCTTTTGGATCACAACCAACAAACTCTAGTAAGAACTTTTTTTATTTTGAAATTATTTGCATCATTTGTCTGTTTAAGAAAAAAGCTCATGTCTACCATTTAGTTTTTTGGTCAAGCAGTTGTGTCTAAGCAAAATAAACAAAATTTTGGTAAGAATTATATTTTGAAATTGCAGTAGAAAAGTGCATTTGATACCCTTAAAGTAAACATTTACTTGACTTTGTAGTGTTCATGATGAAACTGAGGGTTACATTAGTTATAAAGAAGTTCAGGTCATTACAAGAACTTCTAAGTAATTTTGATTTTCAGCATAAAAGTTGAAATCATTGAAGAAGAGTTACAACATAACAAAGTAGTGGTGGCATAATATTCCTTGTTACACCAAAACTTATATATGTGGTCAACAACATCATGGGAAGAAGTATAGTTAACCGTTTTTAATATTTTAAATATATTTTTATTGAAAATCTATTCAAATTTTTAAAGTAAATTTCAAAGAAGGAAGTTAGCATTGCGTAGGATAGCATAAGAATTTTTTTCAGGATTTATGATTGTAACAATTGTCTGTGGTCCATTATTATTGACATAAATGTAAAAATCTACAATTGTTAGCTTTGTAAAAGCAATGATTAATTTTGTTACACAGCATCAAGTGGGTTTAACTTCAACCAGCCAACAACCCAGCCAGCTTCAGGTGGTGTATTTAATTTCTCAGCACAAACTTCTGCTAGACCTTCCTTCGCGGCACCTTCCCCAGGGGGATTTAACTTTGCTGCAACAACACCAAACCCAGGAGCATTCAATTTCAGTACGTTTCACTACTTTTACATTCTACATTCTGAAAACCTTTCATGGGCTCATCTGGATATCTTGCCTTGTTCAGAAAACTGTATACATATTTTATTTATTTGTTTATGAAGCTTGACTTGTTGGAGGTCAAAGCTCATTATCAAGCCATATTCACTTCAATATTTTTTTTTAATCAGTTGGTCCAAGGGTGTGTACAATTATGTCAAGTTCAAACAATGCCATTGATGAATTCAGCCATCGGTGCTCCAAGTATTTCTTATTTTATTTTGAAACATTTTACATTATTTGCAAATTTTTGAAAGAAGTTTATTGGACTTGATGGATAAGCTTTGCAGAGTAGTTCAAGACATACAGTGGCAACAGATTATCAATATATTTGTAAATTATCACCATATATAATTCACAGTACAATTATTACACAATTGTACCGATCACCAAAGAAAACCATTGCTTGGACATTTATGTTTGTATCACAAGCATCTCTCTGTCAGTAGTGTCAGTGGTCAAGTATAATTGTGAATTGACTGTTAGATGATTAGGTCTAGAAATGAATACCTGTAGCCAAATTGTAATGTATCTTAATTTTGTGCTTGTCAGTAGTGTCAGTGGTCAAGTATAATTGTGAATTGACTGTTAGATGATTAGGTCTAGAAATGAATACCTGTAGCCAAATTGTAATGTATCTTAATGTTGTGCTAGTCAGTACAACAGAAAGCTAAGAAATATTTGCAAATGTGAAAATCCTGCATATAGGTCAAGCATAACAATGCATCATCTTTGCTTTTTCTCAACTTTCCTAATTTTTTTTATTTTATACATTTTTCAAATGACTCTCCATCATTTTTTATGAGGGTTACATCTTGTTGTTGGATTATTATTTGACTCCACCAAGAGAATTATTCTATATTTTTTAAAATTTTAAATTTAGAGGTAATGTAGTGGAATGAATGTAAAAACCAATGACACAATGGAACATTGGAACTGGTTATTTGATTCTATGCTTTTTTGAGAATGTGCATCACATAAAAAAATTCAAATTTAAAAGTGCTGAGATATGACCAGGATCTGCAGTTTTACCATTTTTCAATCCTGAGACTAGTCTTAACTTTGCTTTATGATTGTTACTATTTTTATTTCACTTACAAAATAATGTGTGTACCCAAAGTCTTTATATATAGAGATATATAGATAGATATTCAAGATAGATATATATGATTCAAAGTCTCTTGTAGATCATTTAGGCTTACAATGATTAAAAAAAAATTTTTCAACTGCTGTAGAAACAAATTACTATTGGTTAGCTTGGTTAAAGCTAACTTTAATGAAGTTAAAATCTGGCAATGACTTAATTTGTTTTTGTTTTGTTTAAGGTGCTGCTCCAACTACACAAAATATGTTCACACCTCAAACTCCTGGCTCAGCTCCTCGGCCAAGAGCAGCAATGAGGCGACCAGGACGAGCAAGTCGTGGACCAAAACGGTGATAACTATCTAATGCAGCTTGTTTAAATATTAAAGCCATTATCATTAGCTGGAGTCAAAATTAAAGGTGTCTCTGGAATTCTTAGAAGTAAAGCCCTTCAAAACCTTTTTAAATGTTTATCATCAGAAAAAAGTTACCCACTTTGGGGTACATTATTAAAGTTGTGGGTTATTATGGAGGACTTTCAGTCGATATCAATGAAAATTTTTTGTATTTAAGTATTTACAAATCTTTATTAATTTTAATATTTTGTAAGATTTATTTTGCTTGAGGGCATTCTGAATATCTAACCAACTAATATTGATAAAGAAATGTAGTTAGAGGACAACCATCCATATTTATAATGGTCAATGGATAGGTCCTTAAATAGTAAATAAAACGCTAACATCCCATGTACTTGACGAAGACAAGGGGCGCCAGACTAATCTTTTTAATGCTCAGCCTCATGCGGCATTGTCATTGTGAGGCGGCTGTTTCGCACTGGGCACCACTTTTGCTTGTCATGGCCCTGTCCCGAGCAGTCACTGCTCCCTCAGAGGGTCACCACAAAATATTACACAATTTTCATAATTTTAATTCCACTTTTAATCCCATGTGACATTTAGTGTGCCCGATGCAAACCAGTAATTCACTTGAGAGTTTACTATTTGCAGTTACTAGATGGGGCTCAGTGACCTATATACATGTTTTGTTTACCTTTTCCTAACCCTTTAATTTAAAAAAAATGTACTTGCTATTTATAATGTATTAGAATTTTACTTGACACAGTGAAAATCTCAGTTTGACAAAAGCACTGAGAATCAAAAAATTTCAGAAACCCGCTGGCATAGCTGAACCAAATACATCATACGCACATGAAACATGCAAAGAGGCCATCCATAAATGACGTCACACTGTTTTGGTTGCTTTTAATTCGCCCTTTGCGCCATGCCCCCCCCCCCCCCCCCAATCATCACAGATTTGTAACATATTAGACATTACTCTTTGATCACACATAGTCATAAGTCTAGAATTGCAGAAATGGTGAATGAATGTATGTACCTTCTGCCGAGACCCAACTACCTCCTCCCGCCATGTGCACCCATATGCAAAAATCTCTGAAATTCCCTTTTAGTGCTTGTGCCACATATGGATGGCCTCTCAGGCTAAATTTTGCTGCCTAATCTGAACTTTTTAATGGTTATAACATAGTATTGAATAAAGTTTAATGTAGCGTGAAGTGAGTGGTTTTTTACTTTTAGTTTTCTTTTCTCATGTGAATGGTTCGAACACCGACACAAGGATATATGTGTCAACATGTTATGTCTAAGGGGCTGTAGTTTAAGGGGCCATCCATAAATTGCGTCACAAATTTTTAAAAAGTTGGGGGTAAAAAATTGGCCATAATAGCTTGAAGTTATTTATGGATGGCCTCTACCTATTATATACATTTTTTAATCCAGTGGCACTTCAATATTTTAGATGATTCTATTAATCTTCAAATACCAACTTCAAATAAATTATTCCATATGACCAAACTCAACCTTGGTTTTCAATGACATTTTGTTAGTATCATAATGTTGTTATGGTTGATAATGGGCTGAACAATTTGTGTGAAATTTTTAATGGAAATAACATGGCATTCTATCAGTGGTGACATTTCAATGAAATTGTTAATAACACATTGTTAAAGTTAAAATGTATATATATGTGTATGTAATTAATTCTTACATACATAGTTATTAATTCTAACTAATCTTTATTTTAAATTCCAATAAAACTACAAGGCCATTCAAAAGCTTATCTTAGTAAATATTTTGTGGTATGTAGGTTAATAAACTCCCTAATTATTTTACAGTATTTTCCTTCTTAGAATATTTTTTTTAGATTGCTCTTCAAAATGAATGTGCTTTAAAAAGAAATTGCAAAAATCAGTCTTTTATCACTCCTAAATTTAGTTTCTCAAGACTATTAATATTTCTGGTTTCTAGCACAGCAAAATTATCTTTCTACTAACCTACATTATACATGTTACCTTTGCAAATGTGTGCCTTTCGTTTGAAATAACACTTGTTTGATTTTGGTCATGTTGAACTATGAAAGATATTTTGTGATGGCTTCTCCTTCTTTCAAATAAATGAAAATGTCAATTAATTAGCACTTGTTTTCAGGATTTTAAGATAATTTTTCAAGTGTAAGTTGATTTTTCTTCTTTTACTGTTATTTAACATACTTAATGTCCTAATAAAGGAGGGATATTAAAAGATCTATAGGTAATGAAGAGCTTCATTTTCTAGTTAGTGTAGATGTTATCTGATTTCTCCTTGTTTACAAACTGTATGTATAGTTATTCATGTAAACTATTAATCAGGTTTTGACTGAAAATAATTTAAGTGAATTTTCACCGAAATTAAAAATCAGTTTTCACCTACACCTTTTTCCTTTGGTATCTCACACTACTTGCAAGTTAGTTTTTGGTTTTCACTTTCAAAGTGTTTAAATAAAAGAAATTCGCAGTGTTTTAAAAATCAGTTTCAATTGGGTAAATTTTGACTGTCAAACTAATTTTTACTGATTAAATCGTTCAATCGGTTTGTTAATTATAACATCTGTAGTTGAAACTACAGAATGACTTGTACTTCATACATTCAGATATTATTAGCTGTAATGTTGGCTATGTTCAAGAAAACGGGAAGATACTAAAAAAAACTTGTGGTTAGATTTTTTAAAATGTCTCAAGCTGAAAGGGGAGTAGATAAGAGTTTGTGACCCCCATGGTGGTCCTTGATTTTGTTGCCCCTAAAATATGAAAACTACAATGTATATAGAATACACTTTTAAAAATTAAGCTATATAAAATATATTATGTGAAGAAAATGCCGCTGAGGTGAACCACACCCCTCTTCTCAAGCCCCTGCTAGTAGTAGTAGTAGTTAAACAGTTGTTAGCCAGTCTAACCAATAATTTTACTATTATAATTGGAAAAGATCATTTTTAGCATTTAGCTTATTAATGGTTTTGCATGAAACCTTTCCCATAGCTCATGCTACCATGTGAAGCCTTTCTTAAAATAATTCATTGCTATCTATCTCAAACAAATCAAAAACAAAAGTTAGGTTTGTGTAGAAAAGATTTTTAATTTCTAGGATGTGTAACAGGTCAAAGTGATCTTCAGATCCATTACTAAATTAAAATTTTAAATAATTAAACATTGAAAATGATTAAAATAAATTACATTTTAATATTTTTAAAAATTCATATTCTTGAATGCACATTAAAAATTAAAAAAAAACATGTCAGCAACAAATTTTAATCCTGGTAAAATAGGTTAAACATTATTGTATACCCAAATATTCTTTGCAATACAAGTAAATATTTTGTCATTCAGTAGTTTCAGAATATTTCAGTTTTCTAATTCAAACATACCTTATATCTTAATAATTGTATTAATGACAGTGGACTGACTTAAGTAACTAAAACAAATTTCTTTAGGCAGCTCATACTAAACTAAAAAAATATAATTTTTTTTTTTTTTTAAAGTAAAAGAAGATGGTAAAACTGAAACCTCTCAAACAGAAGTTTACTATAAGAATTAAGTATACCATAGTTTCTACATTAGCATTCTCCAGTGAAGGATAGAATACATTAAAGGGGCCATTCATATATTATATTTGAAGAAGAAAAAAATTACATCACAGGTTTTCTTCCTTTTTGTTACAGCTGGATGTAGGCATCCCTACATTGTATCTTTATTGACTATCTTTGGTCCAGCCAAACCAAATAATATGCTAAAAATTAAGTCACACGCATGGAATCTAAAGATGGATCAAAGTTGTCACAAGGCATAAATTATTGTTGTGATATCTAGCGAGTTATTTGTAAAAATACAAAACAATATGACAATATTTACGAAACTTGATTTTTTTTTTTTTTTTTTTTTTTTTTATTTTAGTATAAAAATATAGCCTCAAAAAACAATTAAAGATCATAAACTTTTAAAATTTTTAAATAAGTGGGTTTTACATAAAACAACCTATTGACTATCTTTGGTCCAGCCAAACCAAATATTAGGTTAAAAATTAAGTCACAGGCATGAAATCTAAGGAGGGTTAAAGGTGTTCCAAAGGCTTAAATTATTGTGGTGATATCAAGCGAGTTATTGTTAAAAATACAAAACAATAGGACAATATTTACGAAACTTGATTTTTTTTTTTTTTTTTTTTTTTATATTATAGTATAAAAATATAGCCTCAGAAAACAATTAGAGATCATAGACTTTTCAGATTTTTAAATCAGTGGGTTTTACATCAAACAACCCCCTTTCATTCAGATGGCCCAAAATGTCCAAGTTTTTTTTATGGTAGTACTTTTCTTTTTATATAATAACTGGCAAATAATATACTAATATGATTTTAAAAATCCATAATTCAAGTGGCTTTAATAAGTGATATAACATTAATAACCATGCTAAGTTATAAATTTTAAATAAATTTCATATACATGTAGATAACTTTAAAAATAAATTTTACCATTCCATATAAAATGACTGTGACCCTCACAACAATTGTGGCAAATGGATATAAAAGTTTCATCTCAGAAATGCAACTAATTGCACTGAGCATGAAACGGAAAAACTAAAATCCTATTGTGTGATAAACTGAACAGCCATGAACTTTTGTTACGAGTTAAATTGGCAGTATGTATAATGGGTCAATGTCAACACATTATTTCTTCTTTTTTGGATTTGTACTAGTGGTTAGAAACATCAGATAAAAGACATTACATAAGTGTGAAGAATAAAGATGTGAGGTTTATTGGAGACATTAGAATGCAGGGAATGTTTGGGCTAAAATTCTTCATCAGCAAAAAATTCTTTAAAAAAATAGCTTACATATTACACACAATGGCTTTTAATTTGTTGGATTATAATCATCACTTGGTAACTGGTTACTTAAGGAAAATGTATACTTCTTTACCAAAACTTGAAAAATCTTATTTGTCCACAAAAAAGAAGCTTATGTTGAATCCTGAAATATTTATGTTAATCCAATGAATTCAGATATGCTGCATACATATTGTGCAACCATAAGACTATTCCAAACAAATCAAAATTAATAATCTGGGGTGTGGATTTTTAAAATTAATTGAGCATTTTTAAAAAAGTAATGAATCAAATATCAGATTAGACGTAATAAAAATGCATTTACATAATGAATATTAAAATTGATAAAATTATCAATTTATATCGAGATAAATTCAATAGGCAACACAGCCTTATAGTAATACTGAAACTATTGCATTAAGCCTTCTAACATTAAATAATTTTCTCAAGAACTATTCACAGTAGGGCACAAAAGCTTACAATTAAAAAGCATTAAAATGTTTTCAGGTAAGCACAATTTTAGTCCTTGCTAAGGGCACTTGTTTACCCTTGAAAAGCCGCTACAATTATTCAATGTTTAAAACAGGCTAACTTTTATATTTTTAGTGTGTTAATATAACCATTTCAACCAAGTCCTCAACCAAAAAGTTCTGCTGTAAGAGTAATATAAGGTTAACACAATAGTTAAACAATTTATAGAGTACAAGCTGATTGTCAAAGAAACTTAACATCCTAATTCATATGACATTCAAATGAAATTTTTAATTGATAATGGTTTGTTCTGACACAGCAAAAGTATTAGAGTTTTTATAAAGTGTATATTAAATGACTTACTCGCCAAACATCAAAAACGTACAGAGATGGAACTAAGCCATTTGGTTGCCACTGTTAGTGTTACTAACTTTAATATCGTTCTGAAAAATGCCATGTTTACGCATGTGCCATATTAGTGCTGTACGTTGTCGACATCTGTAATCACAAATATCACAGGCCACTGGCTTTTCTCCTGTGTGGGTCAAATTGTGAATGCGCAGGTGGGTGCGTGCAAAAAAACCCTTATTGCAGTCTGGCCAGC